GAGATAGTGTTACATGTGTTTTCCTGTTTATAACAAAAAGAAAATATACAAATTCATTATATTTTGAATAATTGTCTGTTGTCTGTGTTCTCAAGTTGAAATTGACCAAATAAAACAAATAACCCAGATTCTTTCTGACACTTAATTTGTGTTTGTTGCACATGCAATCAAAATAAATTAAATGAGAATCTTAAAACTGAAGATGCATCATCAGACAGTTTTCTTGGATTTACCTGCATTTCCATAGCTTAACACGTTCTCTGGCAACCTTTCTAATATGTAAAATGGTAAATGTTCTGTATTCCTCTTATTGTGGACTGCCACCAAGTGGTACTGACAATGAAGCACAGTGTGTTGCATCCCATAAACACAAGTTTTGGCACTTCCAGCCACACTTGAATGTGCTTGCCATCCCCACTGGTTTGGTGGAAGACTCAGCGTTGTGACCTTTTAGCATTTCACACTCGGCATGTGGCGATGACAGGAATGAACCCGGGAAGGCACATCTGGAACATGTGTTCAATGTGAAGGTCGCTCTTAAAGGGCCCATGTCATGGCCATTTCCACTGATCATAATTACATTGTTGAGGTATACTAAAATAGATTTATACTGTGCAATTTTCCAAACTCACATTGGTTTCGCATACAGCATCTCTGTCAAGCATGTGTATTCAGCAGTATTCACTTTCTCCACTAAACGACTCATTGGAGCTCTTGCCCCCCCCTCCCTGTGAGCCTAGTGTGCTCCGATTGGTCAGCTCGGCCACTCGTTCTGATTAGTCAACCACCAGAGAGGCTGCGCCCATGTCAGTGCTTTTCCCGGCTGCTCTCAGCGTAACATCAGTCTTATCATGGCGTCGGTACAGCGATATATTTTATATACATATATATTTTTAACTGTTGTTATAGAAGAGTGTGACGGCCTCAGGGCCTTTGTCTTACGGTGGGGTGGAGCTGAAGAGGGTAATCAGCGCGATCACGGACACCTCCGTAGCCGGTGCTATTAATCCCAGCGGCCCGGAGTCTCTCTCCAAAGCGGCTGCAGAAGGACGAACTGAGCGACCCTCTCCCCTCGACCACCTGTCTCTGCATTTACTACAATAAATGTGCCGTGGTTTTGTAAACTCGTGTATGTCTCCTTGTCTTTCCGTTGTGGCCTACGAGCTACTCTCATAACAAAGAGTAAGTTATTTTTACCCGTTATAAACTACTACTGTTTGATGAGAAATCAAATCATGGTTTGCTATATATGAATTCAGGGAAGAAAGGATAGGCCTACTAAGTATTTCCATTAAACTTTATTTTTAGAAATGTACAAAATGAACATAAATATACATATATACACGGTATATCATCCATTCCTCCTCCTCGCATCTTGCCTGCGCACAGTCGGTGCGGTGCCTTTTAGCACCCTCAGTAGTAGTAGAATCCCTTCCCCGTCATGGATTGTCCGCCAGGATCTGGCTGGACGAAATCAAATGCAAATCACAAAATATTAGAGAAACTTAGTTGTTTTAGATTCGTTAGTAGTAGTTGTGTAATGAACAGCTTGCCTGCTAATATGCTAACCTAGCTTTGTTTACCTTGGTAGCTAACACGATATGAACGTTAGCTTGGAGGAAAGGCAACTATAATGCAGTGTAATAAAACTACTATGAACAAAAGCTAGTGGTTCATATTAGGCTAGCAATAACGTGTTTATAATTGCAATCGTATACGGGTATTCTGCTACGTTCGGTCATACAATGTAACTTGCATGAATACATTGTTTTGCGCTAGCATACAGCTAGCCTCGTTAGCTACATGCAGTATATGTACGGTCACAATGTACGGTAAATCACAGTACAGTATACTGTATGAGTATTCCGTGTGTGTGACTGCAGACATTCTCCTGCCATGACAAACATGTAAGGCCATCTGCTGACATTGTAGTTGATATATTTAAACGCTAGCAACGTAGCATCACAAAAATGTTTTTCTGACCGAAACTAGCTCTAGCTCCGTGTGTTAGATCGCTACGCCAGCTATAATGTAATTACGTTTCGCGACTGACCGGCAAATCACCCGGAGTATACTGTCAATAGGTATTTTGTGTGTGAATGCAGACATTCTCCTGCTATGAGATACATGTATGCAAGGCCATCTGCTGATATTAGAGTTGATATATGGAAACTCTAGCAACTTAGTTAGCACTGTGTCAATGGCTTAGCAGTCCAACACAGTTTACACATTTAAACAGTCTTGTTTGATAAATACACAAATAACAATGCAAACTTACAGGTTGTATACCCAGATCTTCCCCTGCTCCAAACGGTCCAAACAAGCTGTGCATATCCGGCCTCAAACTGGGCAATGTTTTGGAAGCTTTCGTCTGTGAAATGCCGGTTCTTCGAACCTCTGGAGGAGGAACACGACGCTGCTGGTGTGGCCATAGCTCTTCGGGATTGGTCCATTTCGTTCCGGGTACCGCATGACATCAGGCGGTACCCGGAACTAAATGGAAGACTCAAATGGGCAGTGACGTATCTCCAACGAGGCGTTTTGGGGAGGTATTTTCTGTGTTAGAGTTTTACTCGCTACAGGGTGTACTTTGAGGGTTTTGACTCTGCACACCGTTTACATGCATAAAAACCTTCATAACACACAAGGGGACGGGTAATAACCGGAAAAGCATGACATGGGAGCTTTAACTATTTATAGATCCTGAGTGTGTGTCAAGACCTGGGGCCTCATTTATAAAGCCTTGCGTAGGATTCACGTGGGAAGGTTGCTTACGTAGGACAAAGCAAATAAATACGCACAGACATTTTCCGATTCATAAAACACTGCGTACCTGCGTAGGACTTGCGTGCGGCACATCCTACGCCGGTTTCCCTTTATAAATCACAATCAACTCGAAATGCGGCGCAGCTTTTGCGGGCTTCACGTAACGCCCATATTTGCCTATAAATAGTCAAAGAAACGCCCCGTATTAATATTCATTCAGACTAACTGCATGAAGAAGATCGCAGGAAATGACGACAGAACAGCTAAAAAATACATTTCACACCGTGTCAGATTTTGGTTCTTTTGGGGAGGTCGAGATAAATCACATTGTTTGGTGGATGCAGTTTGAACCAGAGTAGCAGCATGGAGGTCGAATAAATAAATAAATAAGAGTTAAGAGTTAAAAAAAAGTTAATGACAAAATACACATAACCTTCCTCAAGCAGTGTGTCAGTGTGTTTGTGCCGGGGACAGGAGACCCCCCCATGATGAGAAACTGTAAGAAAGTATCGGGGGGTCCCTGCGGAGTGGAGTCAATTAATGTTTATTTTTTCATTTGGTGGTTTGTGTTCCAGCTGTCGATCAGCTGTGCGCAGCGTCTCCACTGCAGCCTGTGCGTCTCAACCCCCCCGCAGCAACTCTATATCCACCAGTTAAAGGAAATAAAACAAATGTGTTGAGTTATATCAGCTGCCAAATCTACCAAATATATGGTGTTCTTAGTTTCCATACCTCCTGTGTTTTATGAGCGACTTATCAAGTCTTAGCAAATGGTTTAAAACATGATTAAACATGATAGTATATAAAACCATGCTCGTATCTATACAACCATATAGAAATACAAAACGGCCTCAGTTTAGACGTAATTATGTCCTTCTGCATATCGCATCATTTATGAGAATAGGTCATAACATTAAGACAACATATTCGAGGTGGTTTTCAATAACATATCCGTATATATTTATTTCTCCAAGTTAGGTTTTTGTGTGCACTGAGGAGTCTCAAACAGGCGTTTGTTTAATCATTTTAAGATTGGCTTTTTATTTAATGTTTGCAAATGAATTCTTCATATATGATACATGAGAGGTAACATTTTATTTATGGTATTATTTCCACATATTTCTCTCCATTCTTCCTTCTGCCAACGGTGTCTCGAGTTTCTCGTCTCTCCCGTTTTTGTGCTTAGTGCGTACGCATGGGTCAGAGTTTGCGTGGAGGACCGCACATTTTCCCGTCAAGTTTGTTTTTTATAAATCGCAAACATTGCTTAGAAACTGGCATACACCATCTTTTGAGCGTACGCACCGTTTATAAATGAGGCCCCTGGTGTTGCTTTTGATTATCATCTTGCTAAGCCTGAGTGCTGAGAGGTCATGTATCAGCTTTTCATCTTGAATAAACACACAGAGGAGGTTGATGCTGGGACAAAATGACAAAGGATGTTACTTTCACCATCAGGATTTCACACAGTCATCAGACATTGTTTGTGATTCCTAGCATGTGTAAGGGATGTCTATCAGCTGTTTACACAAACACACTGACAACATGTGTGTGCACACACTTATGCACACAATACACCATCTGAAGCTATTGTTGGGGTTGCGGTCATTCCTCAAATAACAATGGCTGGACGCATCAGTCCCACACTGACAGAAGCATCGTGCCATATGGAGGACAGTAATGCCAGTGGCTTTTGCTTTCCAAGGCTAGGAATAATGGATTAAAATTCCTCGGCTGGGAGTTCCAGAGTCTAGGATTCAAGTCATGTGTCCTGTGGTTTAGTTCTATCATACTCTAAAAATATAATTTACCAAAAAGTGCTGAATCAGAAGTATCAGTCTATAATCAGTCTTTGATTTTCTGTTTCTCATTATTTCAGAGGGTTTTTAGAGTCTGAAAAATAAGCAAAAATACAATTATGTCGATGGCAGATCCACTTTTTTTCGAAGGTATTATCATGACACCAATTTTCCTTGTTCAACAATGTGTCTTGATTATTATTTGTGACTATGAAACATGGTCTTTCTTTTCTTTCATGGCTGCGTCACGATCTATTTTAACATTATGAGAATGAGTTTAGCTAGGTAACACCTGTTGCACCCCCCCTCCCTAGATTTATCATCTCCCTTTTTTAATCCTTCATAAGTTAAACTGCTTTCAATCCTCTTTACGTGCCTCGCATAAACCGACGGGTGCCAGTGAAATGAAACGTGATAAAGTCAAGTACGAATATGGAACATTGAAGACTGAAACTTTATTCATATCCACTTTAATTGTCTAAAGATGTCATAACAAAACTAAAATAATGTACTTTGGTCATATAAAAAACAACAATGGATGTCTCCCATTTTGAGTCATTGCACAGAAAATGGCTACAGCTTAGAGGTTGACCTTTGTGCTTCATTCAGCTTTCAGATAACTATTCCATATTTCTGTTTCAAGTACTTTCTTTCTCTTCTCATTTGACCAGCTTCATAATTTCCTCACAGGGTCTCACTGTGCCCCTCCAGCTGTGTCGAACATTTTCTTGCGGCCCTCCATGCCGGACATGGCCTCCACGTTCTTACGCCAGTCACCCACTTCACTGCCAGTCACCTGGGTCGAACGGAAACGAAACATCCAAGTTAAAAAACATCATATTCCTAAACAGATTGTTTTGTCTCTAACATTCCCGACATAAGGGGACCTATCATGCAAAATGCACTTTTTTATGTCTTTTATACATAAATATGTGTCCCCGGTGTGTCAGGGAACTCACTAAGTGTCAGAAAAATAAAACCCTTAGCAAGCATCGCTAACACTCAGAGCTAACCTGTACTGGAGAGAATATGTGTAAAATAGCAGGAAATAAAAAAAGGAACTCACCTTGTGGTAAACCCGCAAGAGAAAAAGCATTTGAGCTCCATACTGTTTCAGAAATAATAAGTGTGGTTTGGAACATGATATGACATTTCATCACGGCCAGAAAAGGGTGTTACATTTACTTAATTATGAATGTTGTCAAGGCCGAAAATTAGGATGAGCACCAACGGTCAAAAATGTTTTTTTCCCTTCCAGAGCTACCAGCGCAGCGCCCCCCCCCCCAGATCTGGCGCCCTAGGCGACCGCCTATGTCACCTGTGCCAAAAACCGGCCCTGATAGCATTTAGCTGAGTATCTTGGTAGAATTCTCCAAGCTCCCCCCCTCTTTTTTTTTTTTTTTTTAAAGCTAAGGACCCAGAATCAGCCCTTCCCTAAGAGGGATATGAGGGATATCTAAAATGCATGATCTGTTTGGTATTTTGAGCATCATAGACATGTTTTTTATATTTTGTTATATATCTGAGACCCATAAGCCTACAAATAGCATGATAGGAGATCTGTAAGCAGTACCTTGTCCTGTTTGACGTCCTCCTTCTTCACAGACTTGAGGTTGGCTCTGAGGTCCATGGAGCCCTTGTGTTTGGAGCCCAGAAGAGCCCTCATCATCTCATCTGCAGACACCCTCACCTTCCTCAGGGCGGGCTTTTTGAACTTGCCTCCGAGATCCTGTATTTTCAGCTTCAGCTCATGGATCTGATCAATATGACAGAAAATGTATGAACATCTAATAAACGGATACAAAATTTTACTCAGCATTGAATAAGGTGTTCAGAGACTCACATCTTTGTTGTGTTTGCCCACTTTGAATTCGCAGTCGTATCTCTCTTCGTCTACAACATCAACTTTTGAATAAAGCTCCTTGCATAAATTCTGAGGGAAAACGAGGCTGTTAAACATATTACTGAAACATTCTCCTTTGTTTTCTGCTGTAGAAGTACATTTGCTGTTTTTGGTGGAGGAGGACCCTTACTTGTAGTTCGTCCAGTGGTATTCCAGACAGCTGCAGAGGGGGCAACTTTTCTCCTAGATAGCGTGCCTTCTCCTCCTCCCTATCCTGCCTCTCCTTCTCCAAATCCTCACAGGCTCTTGTGAGGAGAAGCATCTGATTGGACAAAACAGATATCAATCAAAACTTGGCGAGTTGCTAGTGAGTTTACTTCATTATTTGGTGTGTTTAAGAAAGTACCCAAATGTCCTAATTTTCCATCATTTTCCTTATCTTTAAGGAGAGGTGTCATGGCCATTTCCACTGATCATAATTCCATTGTTGAGGTAGACTACAATAGATTTATACTGTGCATTTTTCCAAACTCACATTGGTTTCTCATACAGCATCTCTGTAAACTACGTGTATTCACTGAATTTCACTCTCTGCCTTTAACGGCTCGTTGTAGCTCCAATAGCTCCAGCCCCCACCCTCCCTGTGAGCACAGTGTGCTCTGATTGGTCGGGGCGTTGTGAATCGTGCTGAGCTCCGTGGAGGTGTTGTTTCCTTGTTTAGGATACACAGCGAAACACAGCCAAACTCATCCTGAGCACACACAAACTCACAGCCGAAGTAAAAACAATAAGTGTGGCTTGATATTGAGTAAGAAATCCCTACGTAGCGATACCCAGGAAGTAAACAATGGACAATGACGTATCTCCAACGAGGCGTTTTGGGGAGGTGTGTTAGAGTTTTACTCGCTACAGGGTGTACTTTGAGGGTTTTGACTCTGCACACCGTTTACATGCATAAAAACCTTCATAACACACAAGGGGACGGGTAATAACCGGAAAAGCATGACACCTGTCCTTTAAAATAAGTCATTCAAAATCAGGGGGTAATGCCACAGTTGCCCCACATGGTAAATCCAACAAAAAAGTTATATCATTCATGTTTGCCAACATGTTTGTATATTTCCTTACTTAGCCTACCTACGTGTTTGTGATTTAAGTGACTTGTAATGTACTTCATTTTTGTATGTCTTGTGGATGTTTGTGTACTGTCTTATATATTGTATATATATGCTAAATCAATAAAGAAAGTGTTTAAAAAAATAAAATGAAAAATGATATCATAACCCACCTTGAGGGAGAGCTTGCGAGAAGCCGTAATCTTCGACTTCGGCTGTGAAAAAAAAGAGTCTTATTATTATTTCACAATACAACACATTATTATATTTTATAGTCAAGGTTTTTCCAAAGAAGATGGACAAAATTCTAAGTACCCCAACGTTGCCATATACTGGACAGTACAGAATAGGCCTATGTATGGAAAGCCCCCAAACTCGCCCCCCCCTGCTGCAGACGCATGTGAAAAGATAATGCTTTATTATTAGGATGGAGTCAAGGGGAAAGCTCTCAGTGATGCTGATAACAACTCCTGCCAGATAACCACTGCCAGATCTCTGCCTTGTGAAACAGGACAATGTGTCCCCTCTCCCTGCATGCTGGATTAACACTGTGGAATATAGATGGCTTACCTTTTCCCCCCCTTTGGGATTCATGGCTGCGGGTCTGTCGGGCTCCTGAAACCCAGAAATTGTGCAAATGATGGCGATGATTCTATAGGAAATGACATTTACTGTATAAGAGAGCTGAACAAATATATTTAAATTGTGAATAGAAACAGTCAACAACACAAATATCAACAGTAGCATTCAGGGATAGAAGAATCATTTTCTTACCTCACTTGAACTTTAATCCCAGAAACAAACAACATGAGACAAACAGAAGTGTTTATTAGTACAGTCTAGGAGTAATGGCTTGGCCCAGTGAACCACGATGTAATTTGACACATTAAGCCGCCACATAGCAAACACTCCTCAACATCCCTTGACAACAGGATCAAAGCAAGGACAGGACAACAGCAGTTCCCTTCACTATATTCAGCATCTTCTCAGTTTGGCTTATATATTCTGACAAAACAGACAAAACCTTAACAGCAGTAGTCTCAAGGAGAGGATTTGGCATATATTATTTAATAATCTCATCATATTTTTACAAAGATCTAGTCATTATTTCCATGAAGATACATATGCCATATAAAATATTTGCCACTGTTAAACTGTGAAATATACTGTCTTTAATAACAGATATATTGGAAATACTCAGACTTTCAACCAGAACAAAAGAATAACAAACAAATACAATAAAATAGTAGATATAAAACTAAATAAAAGGTCAGAACTGTACTGGAAGTTTTAAATACATAACATGTAATAATAAATCAATGGTTGTTTTACCTGTACAAATGGAAGAGAGTCAAACAGCGGCTGCTGGAGACAATGGGCAGCTTTTATGTGAGCGCTGTGGCTCATGGACAGCAGATATAACGTCTGGCCCCAAGAATGTGCTGGCCCCGGACCGAGCATGGAATATCCCCCCCCGGCCCCTGCCACTGTGACAACACCCGGGGAGGGATATAAAACATGGGTATTACCTTAATGGCATTGTTCACATTTTGCTAACTGTGGCTGTGAAATAACAGTAGCAAAAATAAATAAATCAATGTATACAATATTGACAGAATACATTGTTCAAGTATAACTTCAAGGAAAACATTTAGATATATTTCCTATCTGACAGGAAACCAAATCTGCCACCAACACTTTCTATGAAAGCAGAACTAAAGAACACGTGAAAACGAAAGCCGAGGAGCAGACTCATAGTTTTATGGAAGCTTATGTGTCCGAACCGTTTACATTACTTGTTAGTAGCTTACCAATTAAACAATTGAGATAAAACACGTTTATAAGTGAGCTTTAGAGATGCTGGTATTTGATTGTGTTACCTTTGAAATGATTTGTTTCCCCTTGTTTCCAGTTCTTAAGGCTAATGCTAAGCTAAACAAATACTCTCTATAAATTCATATTAAAGGTGGGGTAGGTAATTTTGTAGAAACCAGCTCGAGTGCGCTAGAATTTGAAAATACACAACCGGAAAAAATCTGCCACTTCCTTACAGAGCCCCTCCTCTATGGGCTCAGAACAGTCTCATAATACACACATGCACACAGAAGGATTCACACTTGTATTTCATGATCCGCAAAAGGATCCACACTTGTATTTCCGGATCCACACTTGTGTTTTTCAATGCACACACAAATGTGTTCCGTTTCATATACATGTAAATAAAATACAGAAAAAAGTTTTACATATGTATTTTTTATCCTCACATATTTGTTTTCCGTTTAAAACCTCTGCACCTACAAACACAAACCGCTTTCTGTGCATGGATCGCTGTGCATTCGTGTGTGGGTTTTTTGAGACTCCCCTGACGGTCACCCGATTCATACTTGTAATTTCTTTCATCTATAGCCAATCAGATGTCTCCTTCATTCTAAGCCAATCACATGAGCGCGCCCCCACGAGGGTAGGATTTCTTGCGTTCATGACACTTCATATACGCATTTTGCGCTGTCCGAGCAGGGTTTCCGCGGACAGAATTTATTTTACCGGACAAATTTGAAACTTACCGGTCATGTTTCAATAATAATAATAAGAAGAAGAAGAATTGTGTAGCAGAGTTTCCGTTAGCAGGTAATTACCGGACTATGACCGGATATGGCTAATAACACGGGAGTAAGGATCCTCTCTTTTCCTCTCTCCCTCCCTCTCTCCTGACAGCCCGTCAGTTTCTCATGCAGCTCGCTAAAACTTCACTCGCGTTTATGTCCATATCGATCAGATCCAGCTCTCCTGATCGGCCTTTATAGAGAGCACCGATCAAACTATTAAGAGTGAATATCGGCCGATAATGACCGGCGGGGCTCCCCCCGTTGACAGTTCACTGTCTAGATTAGGCTAAGCTAACCTGTAGCTGCTCCCTCCACACTCACAACAACTTCATACAGACATAAATAAAGCAGCTGTATTCGCCATACAGGAAACACACATTTAAAACGGTTTTGCCTGCCGTTTTTGTGTACACAAGCATTCATTAATGGTTCGGAAAGTGGCACTGTACCTTAATAATATAAAAGATTGTATTTGCGTGCATTTCCTGCTCGGAAAGTGGCAATGTACTGAGAGTGGAAGTGTCCCGAGATTAGCGCCTTCAGGCAGGCTCCATGGACCTGTCAGCTCCGGACAGCGCAAAATGCGTACATGAAGCGCTACGTCATGAACGCAAGAAATCTACCCTCGTGGGGGCGCGCTCATGTGATTGGCTTAGAATTGAGGAGACATCTGATTGGCTATAGATAGAAAAAATTACAAGTACGAATCGGTTCACCGTCAGGGGAGTCTCAAAAAACCCACACACGAATGCACAGCGATCCATGCACAGAAAGCGGTTTGTGTTTGTAGGTGCAGAGGTTTTAAACGGAAAACAAATATGTGAGGATCAAAAATACATATGTAAAACTTTTTTCTGTATTTGGATTTTATTTACATGTATATGAAACGGAACACATTTGTGTGTGCATTGAAAAACACAAGTGTGTATCCGGAAATACAAGTGTGGATCCTTTTGCGGATCATGAAATACAAGTGTGAATCCTTCTGTGTGCATGTGTGTATTATGAGACTGTTCTGAGCCCATACTCCTCCAACACACACGAACGCGCACATGACCAATGAGTTTGTGCACAGATGGAAGGCTGACAGGCAGGTAGGCCATCCAGTTATTTTAGCCGGGCCGGCTCAGATGATTGGTCGTGCTTTTTACAGCGCCGCGGCTTCCACAGATTACATTTTTTTATGTATTTATTGTCAAAACATTTAATATATTCATTGCTATCGGGATGTTAAGAGCATTCCATGGAATATAACAAAAAGTGTTTCTGAAATAAATGACATACCCCACCTTTAAAGGTCCCATGTCATGCTTTTCCGGTTATTACCCGTCCCCTTGTGTGTTATGAAGGTTTTTATGCATGTAAATGGTCTGCAGAGTCAAAGACCCTCAAAGTACACCCTGTAGCGAGTAAAACTCTAACACAGTCTATGCTGCCCCAAAACGCCTCGTTGGAGATTTCTCATTTTCCATTGTTTACTTCCTGGGTACTGTGACGTGTGAATACCCAGAGGCCACACCCTCTGCCAGCATTTCACGAAACAAAGCTTCCCAAACCTTTCAGGATTCATGCCGGATATGCACAGCGTAGGGCACTGAAGAACGATGCTGTTCCTACTTTGTTTGGACCAGCGGGAGATTCGGGTACACAACCTGTAAGTATTCATTGTTGTTTGTGTATTTATGATGTTTAAAACAAACAAGGTATCTACCACGACTGTTTAAATGGGCAAACGTTTTTCGGGCTACTACGTTGGGATCGCGGAGAAATGCTCTCCGCAGACCCATTCTCACAGCGTTATAAACCTTTTTCTTACTCAATATTAAGCCACACTTATTGTTTTTACTTCGGCTGTGAGTGTTTGTGTGTGCTCAGGATGAGTTTCGCTTGTTCTCGCTGTATCGCCGACGCGGAAGCCTGTCTGCTCCTCGCAGCAGATCGCAGCAACGAGCCTCTCAACGTCCCGACCAATCAGAGCACACTGGGCTCACAGGGAGGGGGGGCAGGAGCTCCAACAAGCCGTTTAGGACAGAGAGTGAATACCGGTGAATACACATACTATACAGAGATGCTGTATGAGAAACCAATGTGAGTTTGGAAAATTGCACAGTATAAATCTATTTTAGTAGACCTCAACAATGGAATTATGATCAGTAGAAATGGCCATGACATGGGACCTTTAAGCGTACAAACTATCTAATCAACAAGATAACTAATTAACTATGAAATGTGCTATAAACTTAACATGTCATTACAAAAATTACATTTAAGGGTTAAGGTAAAAAGAGTGAGGAACCAAAACAGGGCCAAGGGTTTAAATTATAGCTTAATCATAAAGCATTTGATGGGAAGAATACACACCCAAAGAGCAGAGTCATAATATAAGAATATTTAAAGCACCCTTTGCCATCAAAAGCTGTTTTTAACTTTTCAAAATCAAGCCATTTTCGGACTGTTTCTGACTACTTAGTCAAACATGTCATCCGGTATAAAGGTTAATAACATGCTGGCCGTAAGAAAGTGTGTGTGTATGGCAGCCATGCAGAGACTGTTAGCTCTTGTCATTACCTCTGAGTTATTCAAGGGGCAAGTGCAGAGTGATCAAGGTTGAATAACAGAAATTAGTACTGTGACATTTAATCTTCTCTAACCACAGTTATTATGATAAAAATGACTGGTTGGAGTAATTATATATTGGCCTAAAATAAGAAGAGGTTTTTTCACGTTGGCTCTGTTTCATTGGAAGAGATAAAGAAGTTAGTGGAACTGCAGGTTGTGAATAACTAGTGAAAATGTTTAATATATTGTATACACAGTCTCATTAGGAAAAGAAAAGTCAAAACACAGATCTGTATATTATTACTGATAACGGTATGCAATTAAATATGTCCTTTGTGAAATAATGTGTTTATTTTTACAGCAGCAGGCCATGAAGCTATTCATCAAGATTGTAAAGTACAGATTTCAAAATGTAGAGATTCTTCCTTTGAACTGAGGGAAAACATTCATTGTGGGAAAAAAACTACACACACATCTGTCAAAATCATGGAAACAGACATACAGATACAGCACAAAATGAACAATGTGAAAAGGTTGAACTTGCCTTAGCTGCACTAAGTATTAAGTGCAAATTGGAATATGTTAGCAATAGCACGTCCACATGCTAAACTCAGACAATAAACATAGTTATACCTGCTAAACATTTACATGATTGCAATGCATTGTGAGTGAGCATGATAGCATGTTCTCTATGTGGTACAGATACAGTGCATTATAAAGGAAAACATGTTCATTTAAAGGCCTGTGTTGTCTCTGAGCCTCACTTCACTTGACTTTGACCCTTGACCTGCTGCATGTGTGTTATTGTAGTAACTGCTGTCAACAATGACTTGGCCTGACTTTATCGAGATGTCAGAGCTGGAGAGCTAATCTCGGCCTGAGCTGCAGCACTTCATGCAAATCACCCCCGAGCATCAAGTTTCTCTTCTTTCCACTGGCTTATCCTGGAATAAAGCTGATGCAAGTGCTAAGGTGTTTTTGGTAAACAGAGCATTAGCTACAAGGACATCCTCAGAGGAGCAACATTAAACAGGGAGGAGTTTACGTTGAGCCTTTGGCTCTATGTGAGCTGTGACGGCTTCTCAGTGATTAGAAACCAGATGAAGATGAACGAGACGATTTTCTGCAACAGGAATATCTCGTTCAAAGGTTTGGTCATTTCTTTCTGATTCTATAATGTATCCATGATTTGTTTCCTTGAATAT